TTTGTCTCACTCCTGTCTGCAAATCACATTTACTTTCTTAGGCTCCATCAAACACAATGTGAGCGAGATTAGACCATGTCTGCAAATTTAAGCTGCCTAAAATGTTTTTATTAATGCCAAATAAAATATCCAGCACAAATAATGTATGATAGGCATACATTAATCATTTGTATATTTTACTTTACACTCATATGTAGTTAGTTAGTCAACTGCAGTTTATCATCCCACCCACCTGTGCTTGCAGTGAGTTTTCAAAATGTGTCCCACGTCGCACTGTTTTGCATTGAGTCTCTACTAGTATGTTTTTGATACTTAATACCATAAATACTAGAAAAAAGAATGGACAATCCCTTATAGACTGTCATAAAATGCACATCAAAACACACTTTACTGATCGCATTTACACCAAGTAATCATATGAACTTCATTGTGTTCTGTTAGTTGTGTGTTAAAAGAACTTTCATTAAACTGTTTTCTTCACAGCACAGTGGTATATGCATTGTCCACCTCCAGATCGATCGCCATTGATTTAGCGCAGACATGTCACTACATGGAGGTCAGCTTCCAAGAATCACACAGGTCTATAATGTACCAGATGAATTGACTCCAAACCTACAAAGCTGTTTACCTGGGTGATTGATAGACAACACACAAAGAAATCAGCCTAAGCTTCCAAGCTCAAATAGGCACAGTTCAAATGAAGAATAACCAACACCAGACACCATTTTATGTCCAAATTATCCTAAAGAACAATGGCTACACCACCTCCATGACCTGCGTCTTTCCAAACATCCAACATAATCTATAAAGCTTCTGACCTTCTAATGAGTCTTGCACTTACCAACACAGTGGTAGACTCCAGTCCAACTGCCTGATCAGCCAGTCCTTTCTACATTCAGTTTGAATCGGAGATGTGGAACCGGACAACAGAGGGTGAAACACTTGAGACGATCCAACCAGCTGCTAATTTATATCACGTGTTTCTCAAAAGTGGAAGACGAGGCTCCTCTTCAAAATTCTTGTAACATTCAAAACAAAATATTTACCTTCTTTTACCTAAGATGAGTACAGTATTTTTCGGACGATACGTTGCTCTGGAGTATAAGTTGTACCAGCCAAAAAATGCATAATGAAGAAGAAAAACATATATAAGTCCTCCCTCTTCTGTGTAACTGTCGTCAGACCCAGCATCATTTCCAGTTAGAATTATTCCGGCCTTTCTGAATCCCGACAGGATGGTTTTGGTTGTCCCTGAATTCCAGACTTTGTCGATCCATCCAGTGACTTCCAGGAAGGTTGTATAGCACACGCTCCCAGTTGTCACAAGTTTCTCGCTCACTCCAAACTTTCTTTCTGCTGCTTGATTACCTTTTCCGGCTGCAGATTTGGCTACCTGCTGCTTGTAATCGGCAAAATATGATTTTCTTTAGGGGCACATTTGTGTTCAATCTTCTCAGTTGTCTTTATAAGTTTGTCTAAATTTTTACTTTTTAGTGGTACAGAAGTAATGGTGCGATCGACTGACATGATCCCAGACAGGACAGGGGCTCTTTCTGCAGCAGACATGCGCAGTAGAGCGTGAAGTGACAGTGGTACAGGAGTAATAGGAGTAGCAGATACTGGCACACAAGATTAGAGCCTCTCGTGGCTGTGAGTGTGAAAAATTAATACATAAATCGCACCAGAGTATAAGTCGTAGGATCACCTAAACCTTGAAAAAAAGAGCAAATTATAGTCCGAAAAATACGGTAATAGTTTGGTGCTTAATCCTGCAAAAATCTGTGCTGTTTCTGAGCCCCTTTTGTTTGTTTTTGACCATGCACCTCTCTGATTGTTTTATCTGCCTGTCAGTCACTCCATTTGAAATAGGGGGAGACAGGATACAGCTCCAGATCCACTCGTCTTTGTTAAGCTTTGTCAAAGTGAGTGGTTCTGTCCGGTCAAGTAACCTGTCCAGATTGACCCATACTGGCTTCACAGTTTAGCATTTTAGGATTAACCAGATGCACTCCACCCAAGATGACTGTGTGTCCAGCGATGGGGACGAGGCAGGCACAGACAGGTGCAGACTTGTGCAGACAGGTGACAGGGAGAGCCTCAAACATGGCTCATAATCCTGGGTTAAGCAACTGGAAAGACAAGCTGGATACCAGGAAAGACATAACCAGATCTTTAGCTTGTATTTCCATGAAGGTGCAGCCCCAAAGCACAGAACTAGTCCACAACAAACACACTTGATCTACAGCTCTCTGGACAGACATGAATCTATAGCGTTTTTGGAAAGTTCTAGGCATTCTAGTCTTGTGAACCGCTACATTTTTGCCCATAAACACCTCCAGCTTCTGTTTTCCGACCATTTTCAAACCAGAACACGAGACCTTGTAGTGTTCCTTTTCCAAAACAAAAGACTTTCAATCGAACGTAACTGTGAAGTGCTACCTTTACTGTCCCGCTGTTCTTCACGGAGCTTTGGCATCCAGTGGTCGTTATTTGCACAACGTTAAAACAGTTTGAGGTACAGTTGCGGTTTTCGAGGAGGGGGGGTGCATACGCAGTCTTTCTATGCAGGATATAATGATTGTTTATGTGGGATTTATATGATACAGTATGCGCCGCAATAACAAGGAAAGGCTGACTACAGTGTCCCGTGGCAGTGCATGTGCTTCTGACTGTGGCCGCTCATCACTCACTCACACAGAGTAATGGCGGTGAGCTTTAAAGGCTAACTCAGCATGATACGAGTGCCATATTAAACAGACACTGAACAAGAGACTGCACTGCCCCCATCTCTCCGTGACCTTGGGCTGATCTTGGTCTAGTTGATTTGTGGATAAAGAAGAGAATAGTCGGGCTACAGATGTGCTAATGTTAGAAACCATCTTTGACCTTAAAAGGAGAAGGGAGAGTTCTCTTGCGTTGCACTGAGGTCAGAGATAAAAGTCTGTCCTTATACAGCGCAGCTCCAATGTCGACTTTTTGGTGCGATTTTAGGATTTGATCCTTTATCTATTGTGCAGAGAAAACACATAACTTTTCTGTTTTGTCCAGATAAAAGTGTAACAGGTATGGCTCTTGAGATTTGACTAGTTGTTATAATGAAAAAATATTTGCATGCAAAAAACGGAAAAAGCAGAAACTGACATGATAATTTGCTTGATTTTTCATTTGCATTATTTGCTTGATTTTCACCAGACTTCCATCCATTATAAGAACACATAACCAAGGTCAAGTCATCATGGTGTTTTAAATTATACAAAAGTCCTCTGGATTTCCTTTTTAGTGCTGATCAGGATAATGCGGTGACAGCCCAAGACCCAAAGGACCCAAAGAAAAAAAAGCGTATTGCAATATATATATATATATATATATATAATTTTCTATCTATTTATAGGTAAATCAACACCTTTGCATTTAGATTTTATTTTATTTTTATTTATAATTTTGTAACATGTCCTGTGTAAAGGATGCCAGGGTCATATTTTGGTGTTAAATTCTTATTTCTTATTTATTTATTTGTAAAGGGACAACACAAATTAATGAACATTTAAACATTTAATCATAGTGCAGCCACAGACTAACTCATACTGAGGTCATTTTTTATTCTGGATAAGATAGTACCCTATAATCCCCCAGCCCTAGACAGAGGAACCTAGTCCCCCCATTAAGAGTCTATCTCACAACCCTTAAAAGACGGACTGCACTGTAAAAAAAAATCCGTCGTTTTTACAGGAAAACGCTGGCAGCTGGGGTTACCAGAGCTTTCCTGTAAAAAATACAGTAATACAGTTAATAACTTTACTGAGAACAATGTAAATCAGTTTACGGTTTTTGAAATCACGGTTGAATCACATTTAAAATCTGTGAAATCTACACAAAAAAGTTGTTAATTTTGCATAACCGTGTTGTAAATAAATAGACACCTTCCTGTATTTTTAACATGAAAAAAATGATTATACATCCTTTCCTGTATTTTCTACATAACATAAATGTTTTTTGTGCACTGATTTCTTGTCAAATTAACAGGGAAATATTTCACAAAAAAAACAGTTTAAGCTGGTAAAACGACAGTAAAAGTTTATATTTTAAATTAAACTTTTCTGTAAATTTTACATAAAATCTACTCATAAACGCAGTATTTTTATGTTTAAATAATACAGTTGAACTGTAAATTACCTGTTAAACCTGCAAGATCATAAATTCTACTGCTACTACTGTAATCATTACCAAAACATGCAATAATACATGACAAGAAAAATATCACTTAAAACATTTATTTAACAGTCTCAATATAGTAACAAGTTGTAAACAATTAGATTTTTTTCAGCATATAGAACAAAAATTGCATTCAAAGAAACCACTGAATCGAAGTTCGAAGATAGCCTCATTATTGCAGAATTTTTTTCAGTTACTCAAACAATGCATTCTCATGGTGTTGTTTTAACAATATCAAGCATGTGACTGATTTTCAGCTGAACTAAATTAACACTCATTGATCTACAGGTCTATTGAATGAGTCATTTTACAGTATTGGGCTTTCCCTTAAAACAAGTTTCAAGTGCCAGGCACACAACCAAATTAAAATTGTGTTTACTTGCTAAAACATAACTCTTAAAATGACTTTAAAATTAACATTTACAACCCTCATACTCTCCTGGGGGTCACATTGTCCCGAAGAATTGTTTTTTTTCCCTTCCTGCTCTCTTGGAGCGGATCTATCAGACCCAAAAATTTATTTTCAAATAAATTCTCGCCAGGTGAGAAAATACATTTTTGGGTTTGACTGACCCGCACCAAGAGAGAGGAAAGGAAAACCGTTTTTTTTTTCCTTCTTCAGGTCAATGTGACCCCGAGGAGAGCATGATGGTTAAATCAATGACATATTATGCCTTAATTAACATAAATCACACTGTAGATTTAACAAAGCAAAAACCTCCGGTACCTCTTCTCAAACGAACACAGAGTCCAAAGAGATTCCAAAGACTCCATCAGACAGTCCATGTTTATCCTTCCCGCCACTCCTGATCAGAGAGTTCTTGTATCAGGGTGAGGACTCGAGGGTTTACATTGAGACGACGCTTTGAGTTTTTACTCTCCACTTTGGTTCCTTTTTCCGGGTTTATCAAGAAAAAACACCTATAAAATAAAATATTGCATATTAAACATTTTTATTTATCAGAATAAAATAAAAAACTACAAAATATATTTTCGAATAAAATGAATGTTTAAACACAAATCTGTCATTTTAGGTCCCAGAGTAGCAGTCCCAGCCCAGGACTGAAGTCAGACCCAGAGTAAAGTCTGGGTCTGAGTCCAGGTATCAATCTCAGTATTAAGAAATGTGTAAGCCATATTTACTCACCTTTGAAGAAACTCAAGAGTTGAAGCCAGCTCAGATGGATAATGGATGTTAAAACAATAGTAGCTCCCAAACATCAGGCACAATGCAGAAATGAAGGAGGAGATGTTTGTGTTGATAAGGTTCTGATCCAGACTCAGCATGTACCTCGTTGAAGAAAAGCATGATGTTCCTATGAATACAATATTAAACAGGGTATTTTAATAAACACAACACACATGACAAATTCTATAAACTGCAATTAAAAGATATGAAACAGACTTACCACAGACAATAACAGCTGGTGTCACAGGCACTTGCTCCAGTTGGACCTCTTCTGCCAGACATGTATCTTCTACATAGAAGAACAAGGACTCCTCCTTCTCATCAAAGTAGCTGAGCAGAAGCAGGACCATCTCTTTCACATCATCTGAGCAGCTACTCTGCTGTCCTCGCATCCTCTGAAGCCTAGCATAAGTCTGAAGGAACTTCTTACTCTTGTTGACACAAACTGTTGTCATGTAGTTGAGAAGCCTTTTCCCCTTCAAATCCAAATTTCGAGTGAATGTCTCTTTAAGGTCAATCCCAGTGAGTTCCTTGAAGTGGACAGACATACCAAGTTCATCAAACAAAAATGGCCACTCCTCTCTGAGGTATTTGATACTTTTTCCCTGGTTGACTTCTTGGCGCTGTGTGTAAAAAGTGGACTTCATTAGATTTTTGATCTCTTCCAGATTGGCCTCAGATGAATGTTGGTACATTGCTTTGAGTTTTTCCATCTTTTGCTGCTGGCTCTCTTGAGTTTCTCCAATGGGCAGAAATTTGACATTCCACTTAATGCACCCATAAATGTCCTGCATTTCAGCTCTCTCTTCTAAAGGGATCTCATCTGTGTGATCCGAGTCATCGGTCGCATGTCTTCTTTTTCTTATTTTAGGTGTTGAACCGCGCCTCACATTTTCAATTCTGTTTTGTAACTGTTTAACAAGGGAATGGTAGCCTGCCCCAACAATATCTCCCTCTATAACATCTTGTAGAGATTTTGGATATTTTGCTACCATTTTTTTTGCAACATCAGTTGAATGCTTTTTACCTACATGAGGGTATTTTTCTAACATCTCAGTCACAACTATCCGGATCATCTGTCTCCTCAGTTTTGAGCCTGGCCTTTTTCCCCTCTCCAAAGACTGCATCACTTCCTCAGGAAATTTACTCCATGGAATTTCAAAACTGTTCTCCCACTGTGTATCGAGTCCTGGGCTGCTACTACTGGAGGAGGTTGAAGATGAACTTCGGGGTGAAACTGATAGCAAGGACACAGAGTGGGCAGGTGACAGTTCCAAAGATGACAGTGAGCTGGGCTCAGGAGTCTGGTCTTAAAATAACAGAAAAAAGGTGATGAGTTACACTGTGCATACCATGTTTTGAACAGATGACAAATCCATACATTAAAAGACTGTTTGTGTACGGTCTTTACTTACATTTCTGTTTCCAAACAGAAAGAAGTTTTCTGGCTTGTATAGGTCTTAATGCAGTCATTAAATCAGCCTCCTGTATGAAATGTAGATCATCATACATCTCAACTCCAATGGATTGCAAGTGTTCTTGGAGGATGTTTTTGGTTGCCGGTGGAAGGTCTGGTAGTACTTCCATGATGACATCATCTAAGAACGTTCGCTCTGAGTCACTCATATTTGCACTAAAAAGAAAAAAATAAAATAAAATACAGTAAATAAACTTAAATCAGATATCATTGTGAACTATTTACAGTGTGAGAAGTATAGCATTAGCTTCAACTTTATTTTTCCACAATACTGTGCTTCAGAGGAATGACTTTGTTTCCATTAAGAATGTATGACACCAAAGGATAGAAATCAAGCAGGTCTTTAATGTTCATACACTGTAACCCAAGACTTATCACAGAATACAGATGGTATTCTGACAGGAAGATGCCTTGGTGGATATCCATCAAAACATACACAGCCGAGTCATTTTGAATCAAGAAGAGAAGAAGTTCACCAAATTCCACATACTCATCATTTCGGTACACAACAAACTGCCCCTTCTTATATGTAGTGCCCTTGTACTGAATATCTGTGGAGACTGTGGTATTGCTTTCTGAAAAGGCAAACTCCTGGACAGCACATTTAATAGTGTCACTATAAAGGTTGGAGTAAAATGCACAGCTGTCCTTCACTTGAAGTAGTTTAATGCATTCTTGTCCTGCTAAAACATATGCCTGATACATCTGATGACGCTCTGCTAAGTTTGACAAATGTTTTTGAAGTTTTTTAAGTGTCTGGCACATCTTTTAAAATAACCATGTTTACTTTCAAACCTAAGTGTCCATAACCTTATCAGAGGACCAAATTTCAACAACAGTGCTGGATAATGGCGTAAAAAGTGGTGCTTCGGTTTGAGTTTGATTTCAGGAAACAACATCTTCCTCAACTCCAAATACTCTTGGACCAAAATATCAAGATATGCTATCTGGGACAAGGAAATGTTCTGAGCACAAATACGATCCACAATGTCTTTTAACTGGAGAGCTAACTGCCACACTTCATCTTCATGGTTTTGCACTTTGTCGCCAATTAAAACTGGCAGCAATCTCAAGAAGGTCCAGTTTTGAATGGCTTGCCCTGATAACCTGGCTCCCTCACAGTTGACAGCACATGGCTTTGTGAGTGCTTCTGATCCTTTGTATTTAAACTGTTTAATGCGCCTGTTTAAGAGTGAGTATGTGAACCATTTTTTTCTTTTTATGATGTTCTTCAGGTACAGTGCTAGATCATATGACAAAACTCCCTCAAAGAGGTCATGACCTAAACAAGGCGGCAGACCAGGCTGAGACACATGGAAAGACTCAAGGCTGTTAAAGACAGAGTTTACCTTTATTCCGCGGACGTCTTCAGTGTTATTAGTCTGAAGCTCAGTAACAGCCGCGTTGTATGTCTCAGGAGTGCGTGGAGGTCCACAGGCATTCGGATCAGCCTCAAACTCACTTCTTGTGATTTCACAGTACCTGCAAAAATATTGAGAGCGGCTGAAGTTCTCTGTAAACCCGCCTATGCTATGAGAACCAAGGTTATCCCCAGAAATGCAGTACAGACCCCCTTTTACCGTTTCACCATCTACATTTATTCCAACTGTCTCTAAGGATTTTAGATCTGCTAACAATTCTGAAAAAACTTTGGCTACTCCAAAATGCTTGAGGTCATTTTCAATGCACAACAGGACCAAAAACATATTATCAGTATTTGAGCGCAAATGGATGGGTATATTTGCTACTGACAGATAGACAGCAAGAACCTTGTGTGTCTTTTTAGCAGAACCCAGGGGGTTCACAATTTCAAATGAATCTTGGTACAAAATCAGTTTGAGGCTCTCGGGGTTTTCGTTAAAGAACTGGTGACATCTGAAATTTTGTCCATTATATAAATCAGTAAAAACCCCTGCTTCAGGATCTCTTAACTTTTGGGACTGCACAGCCCTCCATAAATGTGACTGCAAAAAGCTCTTCAGAGTTTCTGCCACTGGTATGTAGTAAGCACACTTTTTGAGTCATGTTTTCATCCATACCTAATGCCACCTTTTGAGGTTCTGTGTATTTAAACAGTTTTGTGAAGGTTTGATTTCTGGAGTATGTTGTCCTTAACGGCCCCTGATGACAGGAAGAAAACAAATCTGACTCTTTAATGCAGTCACAGACTTTAGTGACGGCTTCATCTGATAGGTTTGCATCAGTTTTTAATACAGAACTTACTTTAGTTATTGTGTAAGCTTGGCCTAACTCGTGAACATTTAGCATTTCCTCAACAATAGTCTGTATAGTAGAGGCAGGAATCAGCAGCTGTCCTTGCAGTTTAAGGTAAAAAAGACACATGTTTCTGAGATAGAACTCGCTATCCGTCTCTGGCATATCAACAGATGCATTAGTTGTGGACATGGCCTCCTGTGTGTTTTCTGAATCACCTGCACAAACAATAACACGTGTGGTCAGTGGTTGAGTTTCTCTGTACATAACATTAATAGCATCAGGAGAGCATGCTTTATGCTTCCTACACATGTGAGAAGTAAATGATGACTTTTTGGTAAACACGTGCTTACAACCAGTGACTGGGCACAGACCTGCCCTCTTCTATATGCTCATTTAAATGAGCCACAAGCTCCTTCACTCTATGAAAATGGTGTGAACACAACGAAACTGCACATTTCAAATCTGAAACAACGGTCTTGGGAGCAGCACATGGAGCAGGTGCAGAGTGCACACGATAAAAATGCCCCTTAAAAGCCGAGTAAGTGGTAAACGTCTGACTACAATTGGCGCCAACACATTTGAAAAGACAACGAGGCTCGTTCTTATGCACTCTGCAATGTAATACATAGCCTCTTAATGTTTCCAATTGTTTTTTACAGAAAATGCAGGTGATCATCTTTAAAATCTCAAGCCTATCGCATTGATTTTAAAATGTGGTAATCACGCACTGACTTACTGATCGCAAATATGGACTGGCGCTAGCTTACACCATGTGCTACTCATTTTCCGTTTTATCATCAGTAAAAAGTAAATGTGAAGCTTACCGTGCAAACTTTCAATGTTTTGAATCGACATCCACAGATCCGAAATTAGGATAATACCGTAGAATGGTCCTAACTCGAAAAAGTATCCAAAGACGTCTCTGCTCTGCTCCGGACTGGTGCGGGGTTCAGACGGCGCAGCGCGCTCTCGCTCTCGCTCGTTAGTGACGTCAGCCTCAGCCGTGAACGTGGAGCGCGTGCTTTTCCCGCTTTTCCCGCCCCCTCGCTATTATCCAATCAGAAACGACCATCAGGTGCCACGATCTCGTCATTATCCAATCAGAGACGAGCCTCAGCTGCGCACTTTGAAATTTCAAATTATGTGGACAGACAGTTCAGGTACAAGTCTGTGGTTATAGGGGAGGCAGGTTAGATTTAGCCTATGCTAACACAATGCTCAAATTATTAGTACCATTTATCAATATAACAAAATATATTACAATATAACAAAAAAACAAAAACAAAAAAAACTTTTTAGAGGGATGTTTAACCTGCTCAAAATATGATCAATATCCACAATTTCAATTTCTCTATAAACTATTTTAATCTTTATATAGCCTCCAGAGTAGGTTGCAAATAAATTATAAAAACTATGTTATTATAAATTAATATTTGTATATAAAACTACATACAACTACATACAATACAGGCAATCTCACAGATCCGCAGTGCCATATTATACAGAACAAAATCTGAACTCAATTGGCATAGTTCTGTTAATCATGCTACAAGTACAGCATAAGGTTGTAAAGTAAATTACTGATTTTTATTTTATTTTTTTTCCTGTATTTTCAAATAGAAAATGTCAAAAATCATAGTTTTTACAATATTTGAATATCTTATTAACAAAAATGTGTAGTTGTGAGTATTACAGTGTTTCTGTGTTTTTGTTACTGTAATTGGTCCTTTTTACAAATACATTTGATTATTATCACATATTATTATTGTAAATATAACATTAATATTTTGTATAAAAGTACAGCATAAAGTTGTAAAGGGAGTAACACATATGTTTTGTATTTAAAAAAAAACTGCCAAAAGTACTATTTTTTACAATATTTGAATGTCTAATTAACAAAAATGTTTTGTTATAAGTATTACAGCATTTCTATGTTTTTATTACAGCAAATGGTAATTTTAACAAATACATGTGATTATAATTACACATTATTTTTGTAAATACAACATTAACCTCTGTTTTTTAATTCACAATGGTTTCCTGTAATTCATACAAAAATCATATGTCTTTCATTTTACCATGCATTTCTGTAGGCATTTT